TACATTATTTAGGCTATTTTCAAATGCGTCAAGTGTACAAATAAAAACAAAAACATATCAAGAAAACACAATCTATTGAGTCAGCATGATAAAGCCGTTAAAGGGACTGCTCACGTCTTTTGCGCGCTCAAGTTCGATTTCAAATGTAGGCGCGCGGTGTGCGCTAATGATGGAAGCAACGGTCGCGGTGCGAGTCGACGCGCTCTTTTTTTTCCAAGTGCGTCCACGCCGCATCGAGATACAAACATATAGTGTATAAAAACATAAAAACCGAAACAAGTAGCGTTCTAACTGAATGAATACAGCTAAACTACCTATATCCCTTACTGAGCACGAAGCAGCAGCGCAGCCAGCCACAGGTGCGAACCGAGTGTTCTATGTGTGTGCGCTAAACTGTGGCGCTGTTACAAAATAGCCTAAATTAAAGCATTTAAAGTTGGGGATAAACCATAGGCTAATTATATTTAGAATACAGTAATATTTAACTCCTTATAAAGGAATAAATATCAAGGAGTAAATCATTGAAAATTTCTTTCTATTGGTAAAAAAAAAAAAATGCAACTGGTCGACCAATAAGAATGTCAGTCGACCAAGACGGCATCGACCGATTAGTCGACTAAACGACTAAAGTTGACAGCCCTACTCAAAAGTGATGCGTAACACGAGAATGAACCTCATTGGTTCTTGCAGAAGCTCAAAAGTGATGCGTAACACGAGAATGAACCTCATTGGTTCTTGCAGAAGCTCAAAAGTGATGCGTAACACGAGAATGAACCTCATTGGTTCTTGCAGAAGCTCAAACGTGATGCGTAACACGAGAATGAACCTCATTGGTTCTTGCTGAAGCTCAAACGTGCCGCGTAACACGAGAATGAACCTCATTGGTTCTTGCAGAAGCTCAAACGTGATGCGTAACACGAGAATTAACCTCATTGGTTTTTGCAGAAGCTCAAAAGTGATGCGTAACACGAGAATGAACCTCATTGGTTCTTGCAGAAGCTCAAACGTGATGCGTAACACAAGACTGAACCTGATTGGATCTTGCAGAAGCTCAAACGTGCCGCGTAACACGAGAAGGAACCTCATTGGTTCTTGCAGAAGCTCAAAAGTGATGCGTAACTTGAGAATGAACCTCATTGGTTCTTGCAGAAGCTCAAACGTGATGCGTAACACGAGAATTAACCTCATTGGTTTTTGCAGAAGCTCAAAAGTGATGCGTAACACGAGAATGAACCTCATTGGTTCTTGCAGAAGCTCAAACGTGATGCGTAACACAAGACTGAACCTGATTGGATCTTGCTGAAGCTCAAACGTGCCGCGTAACACGAGAAGGAACCTCATTGGTTCTTGCAGAAGCTCAAAAGTGATGCGTAACTTGAGAATGAACCTCATTGGTTCTTGCAGAAGCTCAAACGTGATGCGTAACACGAGAATGAACCTGATTGGTTCTTGCAGAAGCTCAAACGTACTGCGTAACACGAGAATGAACCTGATTGGTTCTTGCAGAAGCTCAAACGTGCCGCGTAACACGAGAAGGAACCTCATTGGTTCCTGCAGAAGCTCAAAAGTGATGCGTAACCTGAGAATGAACCTCATTGGTTCTTGCAGAAGCTCAAACGTGATGCCTAACACGAGAATGAACCTCATTGGTTCTTGCAGAATCTCAAACGTGCTGCGTAACACGAGAATGAACCTCATTGGTTCTTGCAGAAGCTCAAACGTGATGCGTAACACGAGAAGGAACCTCATTGGTTCTTGCTGACGCTCAAACGTGCTGCGTAACACGAGAATGAACCTCATTGGTTCTTGCAGAAGCTCAAACGTGATGCGTAACACGAGAATGAACCTCATTGGTTCTTGCAGAAGCTCAAACGTGCTGCGTAACACGAGAATGAACCTCATTGGTTCTTGCAGAAGCTCAAACGTGATGCGTAACACGAGAATGAACCTCATTGGTTCTTGCAGAAGCTCAAACGTGATGCGTAACACGAGAATGAACCTCATTGGTTCTTGCTGAAGCTCAAACGTGATGCGTAACACGAGAATGAACCTCATTGGTTCTTGCAGAAGCTCAAACGTGATGCGTAACACGAGAATGAACCTCATTGGTTCTTGCAGAAGCTCAAACGTGATTCAAAACGTCTTTTCAAAACGTGAAAAGAAGCTCAACATTGGTTGATGAATATCTAAAGTGAGCAGAACTAATCTGGACAAAGAAACAAACTCAAATAATATAAGAGTTTACACATTCAGTTAAAAATGAAAAATACACTAATAAAAAGTGAGATAGAAAGCTCTTGAAATGTAGGCCATTCTTCTTTAGATACCTTCAAACATTAAACAAGCTATAATGTCTGCAGAGACGATCCTGACCTCCCTGGGGCCCTAAGCTAAATTCTGTTAAGGGCCCCTCCAACCTGACCAGCCCGGTCACTGACCCATGAGCCATGCAAACCATTTGCCATTGCCACACAGTCACTCGACACCCCAGTGCTCCCACTACAATCCTCCCTCCTTTAGTACTAATGAAAATGTAATTCCTGATATCAGAAATAGACTGTTACTAGAAAAACTAGTTTCACATTTTAATTGTTGATATCAAAAATGCATCCTGTAAATTAATAAAAGCTCAAATGGCTTGCTATAGCATGTCACTGTGTTTTAAATGATAAAAGCAATACTTGATACCTGATCATTATTTACTGAGGGATATGCATCCATATTGACCAGTATGTCCAGCAAATCGACATTTTTAAATGCAATATCATGTAAATCAATAATAGTCATTGTCAATACATTGCTTCCGTCTTGCTTTATTGCAGAGTTGTGACTAAACTGATCTGGAGAATAGATAATCATTGTCTTGTTTTAAAAGTATATGTGCGCCTGTAATGAGGAGTGTCATCACGCCCATATTGTAGGTCCCCACAGATGCTGAAAAGTGCGCGTTTCATTTCGTGCACGCGCAACGCATGTTAACGCGCGACGCGGTTATCTTTTCCGAGCTGCAGTTTATAAACAAACACCGTTGCCCCTGTCGTTTATCAAACGTAATAAATAGTTGCATTTCACTCTCACTTTTTTGTCAGGCACAAAGTCACAGAACACAGCCCTGAAAGTCATTAGTAAGACAGACAGACAGACCAAAAGATGCACTAGAGGGATATGCACATAAACGTAACTTTACTGTTCTTTGCTGACATCAAACTTGGAGAGGAGAACACAAGTCTACTAGATTGCTGTTCCCGCAATTCACTCTCATTGTGTTTTTTCTCTCTCTTTTCGTGACCAGAAGGATAGTTCCGCTTAACTTTCTCATCGATGTCGTAAACTTTGATTGACGCGCTTTGACACGAGGGGGAGGCGGGGCCCTACGCAACTTGCGTAGTGTGCGTGTAGTAGGGCTGATCGGCTCTCTATGGCTCTGACGGACACTTGGCATTGTTCAGTCAGTGTCTGAATTTCTACTGACATCTAGCTGTAGTTTCATGTAATCACATTTCAGTTTTTTTTTCAAACACGCTGTACTAGAGGCCTGCATTTCAGCCCGAGCCCGACGGGCCCCGACTTATTTACGCTTCTAGGGCCGGGCTTCGGGCCAATTTTCACGTCATAGTTCACACGCGGGCCGGGCCTCGGGCCTGTTTTAGGCTTATCTTTTTTTATAGCCTATTTTAGACATTAATTAAAATAAAATATGAGAAGATGACGATTGAAAAGCAAACATAGAAAGACGTTTTATAACCTATCACACTGACATGACTGACACATGACAGTCTGCTCACGCACACGCACAGGTTTCCCGGCGGCGCGATCTGAGATTCGTGCGACCGGCTCGTTCTGTGTTTAGTGTCCCGGTGGCGAGCGTGACTTCAGCGCAGCTGGAAAAAGTACGACTGGATTAAAACCTTCCACTGTGGATGCTGTGCTTTTTCTTCACGATGCTCTGAGACTGTTCTTAGCCATGTTAGGAGGTTGTTTTTTGTTTGATTGGACTTTATTTTCATGAGTCTGTTGAAAACTATTGGAAATAAGAATGGCCATGTTCTGTAGTGAAGACTTGATTTTTGAGGTAAGATAACCTGCATGTTTGTTTTTAATGTAATTTATTTGATTTGTTTAGATTGCATTCTCTGTATTGTATTGTAAACTCATTTAGTTTGCGAGCGCTGTTGCGACTGAGCAGCAGAGCAGTTTGCCTCAGCTTTTCAAAAATGACAATAAACGTTTAAACAAACGTTAACTGTCTGTGTGATATGCTTAAGTTGTTTTATATATATGGATTGTATTGTAGCCAAGTAAAGTGTTGATTTGAGAGGCTATAAATGGATCAAACATGTTTAACTCACTGTCGGCTGCTTGGTCGTCATAAAAAAAAAAAAACATTTTTCTAAATTAACTTTATAAAGAAATGAAAATAAACTTACTGGTAAATACTTTGCCATTGAGAAGAAAAAAATATCTGTTTTACTGACTGCAACATAGGGCAGGCTGTGAATTTTTTTTTTTTTTTTTTTTTTTTACGGGCTCGGGTCGGACTCGGGCTGATCATTCTAATGAGCTGTCGGACACGGGCCGGGCTAGGGCCTGAGCGTCTCGGGCCAGGGCCGGGCTAGGGCCTAGATTTGAGGCCCGTGCAGGGCTCTACGCTGTACTTCTCGCATTTAACCACAAGGCTTTGCTCTCTCACCTTTACCAGACAGACAGTTTAGAAATAAAATCTTCATGGTAACTCAGAAACGCCTATTTGAGCTTCTTTTTACGTTTCTTTATTGGAATGACAAATACCTTTTTTAATGCCAAACGCTTGCAGAGTTCAATTTAAAAATGTAAAATAAATAAAGCAAAAAGTAAAGTAACGTAAAATTGACGGTGCATATGTAGAAATATTAACAAAGAAGCCTAAGTAATATTTACAATTATAAATGAAGGAACAACCCTGGTGTCTGGCTGCAGTTCCCTTTCGTCCGCCAGGCGGCGCTGTTCAGCATCTGTTCACACGAGAGAAGTTTTCCTGGCTGTGTGTTTGTAGATCGACAGCACAAAGCTCTCAGATCGCATTCACCATGTCCGTGTGTCCTCTCCGGACTCATATCTCTGTGTTATGTTTTTAAAGAGATCTCTGGGGTGGAAATAAACCTGTCTGGATGAAATTGATGAAGAGGCGACCTACTGGATGAAGAGGAGGAGCCGCATACACGTACACCCAAACACACGGAGACAAACGAGCAGCCACATTTATTAACTTATCAAAGATGAGAAGCTTCATTCAGCACAACACGCACACATCAAGGTAAGTTTACCGGCTGTTTTTATTATTTCATTTATTCGAGTCGTTTTCGACTCCGCGGCGGCGAACAGAAACTTTCCGGGTGGCTGGAAGTGAAAAGGCTTTTGTTTCAAAACCACAAGCAACATTTCTGATCAAAGTAACTTAAATATTTTCTCGAAAAAATAGCGGTTAATGTAGAAAGTAACTCAAAGGCACATTAATGAACGATAAAAGTACGTTCGCAGCGAAAGGGCTCGATATAAAGCGAACTTCCCGGATTGCGCCTTTGTTAGATTGATACAATGTAACCTTTAATCTTTGATTTCCCGCTTTGTTGTGGTGTTTCATTGTACATAAATCTGAACTCTTGTTTAATATTTCTCAATGATGTATACAATCTGTGCTTCGTGAATGAATTCAATGGATATAAACCCTTTTGGGATCTCAGGTTGAACCTCTTACTTGTTGCATTGTGCTTCATTGTGTTTTTCATATGTCAGAATTCTGACCCACAATGGGGTTTGTTGCTAATACTATTTATGTTCACATTTAAGTTTAGTCACAAAGCTTCAAGTGTTTGCATATTAGCATCATAAAGTAATAATAATCCAATGCAAAGCCCTGTAAATCATTATTGTTTTTGGAAAAACCAATGGGATGGTCTGGTCATCCCTGTCTGGACTTTAGGATTGGCCTTTTTCTTCAACTATGACTGACTTCTATCCTCCTACTGTCTGTGTTGAACAGCCATGGAAATAACCCATCATCACCAAGAACAGAAGCTTGACAGGAAGCGAGAGAAATTTTTGCGTGTCATGTGTTAGTGTTATTTTTGTTTGTGAATGAGAAAACGCCTCAAAGCAAACGAAGATCTGTACATGTTCAATGTACGAGTCTTAGAATTGAACAACCTTTAAACATGTCATGAAATCAGAATGTACTTTTTCAATCAGTCTCTGATTGGCCATTGCGTTCACACACTCAACATATATGTCTCTGATTGGCCATTGCGTTCATACACTCAACATATACGTCTCTGATTGACCATTGTGTTCATACACTCAACATACGTCTCTGATTGACCATTGTGTTCATACACTCAACATACGTCTCTGATTGGCCATTGCGTTCACACACTCAACATATAAGTCTCTGATTGGCCATTGCGTTCATACGCTCAACATACGTCTCTGATTGACCATTGTGTTCATACACTCAACATACGTCTCTGATTGACCATTGTGTTCACACGCTCAACATACGTCTCTGTTTGGCCATTTGCGTTCACACGCTCAACATATGTCTCTAAATGGCCATTTGCGTTCACACGCTCAACATATGTCTCTGATTGGCCATTGCGTTTACACACTCAACATATATGTGTCTGATTGGCCATTTGCGTTCACACGCTCAACATATGTGTCTGATTGGCCATTGCGTTCATACGCTCAACATATGTGTCTGATTGGCCATTTGCGTTCACACGCTCAACATATGTCTCTGATTGGCCATTTGCGTTCACACGCTCAACATATGTCTCTGATTGGCCATTGCGTTCACACGCTCAACATACGTCTCTGATTGGCCATTGCGTTCATACGCTCAACATATGTCTCTGATTGGCCATTGCGTTCATACACTCAACATACGTCTCTGATTGGCCATTGCGTTCACACGCTCAACATACGTCTCTGATTGGCCATTGCATTCACACACACTCAACATATAAGTCTCTGATTGGCCATTGCGTCCACACACTCAACATATATGTCTCTGATTGGCCATTGCGTTCACACACTCAACATATATGTCTCTGATTGGCCATTTGCGTTCACACGCTCAACATACGTCTCTGATTGGCCATTGCGTTCACACGCTCAACATACGTCTCTGATTGGCCATTGCGTTCACACGCTCAACATACGTCTCTGATTGGCCATTGCGTTCACACGCTCAACATACGTCTCTGATTGGCCATTGCGTTCACACGCTCAACATACGTCTCTGATTGGCCATTGCGTCCACACACTCAACATATATGTCTCTGATTGGCCATTGCGTTCACACACTCAACATATATGTCTCTGATTGGCCATTTGCGTTCACACGCTCAACATACGTCTCTGATTGGCCATTGCGTTCACACGCTCAACATATGTCTCTGATTGGCCATTGCGTCCACACACTCAACATATGTCTCTGATTGGCCATTTGCGTTCACACGCTCAACATACGTCTCTGATTGGCCATTGCGTTCACACGCTCAACATACGTCTCTGATTGGCTATTGGGTTCACACGCTCAACATACGTCTCTGATTGGCCATTTGCGTTCACACGCTCAACATATGTCTCTGATTGGCCATTTGCGTTCACACGCTCAACATATGTCTCTGATTGGCCATTGCGTTCACACGCTCAACATACGTCTCTGATTGGCCATTGGGTTCCGTTCATACGCTCAACATATGTCTCTGATTGGCCATTGCGTTCATACACTCAACATACGTCTCAGATTGGCCATTGCGTTCACACGCTCAACATATGTCTCTGATTGGCCATTGCGTTCACACGCTCAACATACGTCTCTATTTTGGCCATTGCGTTCACACACTCAACATATAAGTCTCTGATTGGCCATTGCGTTCATACGCTCAACATATGTCTCTGATTGGCCATTGCGTCCACACACTCAACATATATGTCTCTGATTGGCCATTGCGTTCACACACTCAACATATATGTCTCTGATTGGCCATTGTGTTCACACACTCAACATATGTATCTGATTGGCCATCGCGTTCACACACTCAACATATGTCTCTGATTGGCCATTTGTGTTCACACGCTCAACATGTATTTCTCTGATTGGCCATTGCGTTCATACGCTCAACATATGTCTCTGATTGGCCATTGCGTTCACACACTCAACATATGTATCTGATTGGCCATTTGCGTTCACACGCTCAACATATGTGTCTGATTGGCCATTTGTGTTCACACGCTCAACATGTATTTCTCTGATTGGCCATTGCGTTCACGCGCTCAACATATATATATATATATCAACATAATATGATTGGCCATTGCTCCTGTGTGTATCTGTGTCAGCACTCGGTAACTCTGTTTTTGAAGCGTTGATCATTGTAGCCAATCACAGACATTTATGTTGCGTGCTTGAAGAACACAATGGCCAATCACAGACATTTATGTTGCGTGCCTGAACACAATGGCCAATCAGAGACATATATGTTGCGTTCCTGAACACAATGGCCAACCAGAGACATATATATGTTGAGCTTGTGAACACAACAATCATAGTTGTTTAAGAATCCATTCAACAGTACTCAAAATGCTAGAGGGAAATGCTGGTATCGTCACATTTTTAAATTTCATATCCGACTTGGTACCGAAGTCTGTACTTTTGACAACACTAATATGTGCATGTCCCTCTAAATAAAAATGTTTGTCTTTATATTAATCCCAAAATACTGGCTAATATTTGGCCATTTTGAGAGGATCTACATAAGCCGATAACCGCACCTTTGTTTTGTGTTGACTTTAATGATTTGTACTTTATGTAACGTGACAGTGAACAGCATAATAGAGGGGGTGGTTCATATTGAGAAACTCTTCAGTGACTAGGAGACGTGAACAGGAAGTTGATATGCTGATGAATGTCGACGTAGTCATAGGAAATTCAGGTTGCCAGGAGTGTTATACGGCTGGGTGTCCCTGCCCTATTTACTCTGTCTCACTCTCTTTTTTTTTTTCAGTCTCTATGTTAAAGGGTTATTGTGAAGTTGAGAGGGCGGCCCACAAAGCTTTTTTGTTGCACCATATGTGCACTGACGTATTGAAAGGGAACCACTGAATGAGAGACCTGGAAGTAGGGCTGGGCAGTATCTCTGTTCAAATATCACAATATTTTTCAGCATTAAATATTTAATATATAACTCAGTAGTTGTATTTTGCTCTAAAATGGCTTAAATATAGTTTTTTTTTCATCAACCAAATGAGTCATCCTTTTTAAACACACAATTGTTGCAAAAGGGCACTTTTTTTTAACTAAATTAACAAACTGAAGAATTATGTTTGTTTATTTATTAATTTACTTTAAATGCACTAATATAATAACTACAGTATTATTTTTACATATTTTAACTAAAACTTTGATGTAGCCTAAAAAAAGCAAGCTTTCAGCTGTCAAATATTTTGAAATAAAATGTTTTTTTGCTTAAATATATATATATATATCTTTTTGTCAGCTTATCATCATTTCAAAGTACAAACAGTCTCAATTTTTTCAGTTTTTTAAAGAATATTTAACCATAAACGAACCACAGTATATTTTCCAGAATGCTTCTATTTTTAATAAAACCTTTATGAAAAATGCTAAGCTGAGATCTCGTGCAATTTTTGCTAAATATTTGATGCATTGGAGTTTTGAATCGATTGACTTCTGAGAATCAATTACTCACAGAAATTAATCTAACACTAGTTTAGCTACTTAAGTTTATTAAAATTACTTTCCTCTTATCATTCTCTCTAGTTGTGAGATAAGGAAGGATTGAAAAATTTGGCTGCGTATTTGGGAAATCAAATTATTGCAATATTAATGATCTTGTTTTATATCTTTACTTGCATGCAAACTATGTGAATACCTACCTTATATTAGTTTTTTTTTCCCTGTAATGCATGAACATGAAGCCATTGGTGATATATAAACCAGTGGCTTCATATTCATCCATCATAGCCCAGTAATGAGTATTGACGAGCAGATGGCAAGAATTAGATATCCATTTTCTCCATGAGGTTCACAAAGAAGCCGCCTTCCTCTCGAAAATCTGCAAGACTTGCAGATGGCAGTGGAATGCTTCCCTAATTTAGTGAAACATCCATCGTGGTCCGGTCACTCATCTGTTTCACTGTGGTAAAGACAGGCTTTTAATCTAGAAGTTGCCCCAAAGTGGCCTGACAGCAATGCATTATGGGTGTGTCGGTTTTTGGAGGGGGGTTTGA